ATATATATATATATATTTTTTTTTTTTTTTTTTTTTTTTTTTTTTTTTTTTTAAATGCTAAGACAGTATCTGCAACTTATGGCTAATTTTTAAAAGTCATCTGGAATATTTTAACATCTGCCATTTGGAATATTCTATTGCAATGCGCATTTTTCTCAGCCTCTTTTTTATGTTAAGCAATTTTAAAAGTGATGAAAATAACATATTCTTTGCCATAAAAGTGAAATTTCTGAATCAAGGCAGGAGCCTGAAATGCTAAAAGAAAATTATCGATGGCACTTCGGGGTTTTTGCATCTGAACTCTTCAAGTGTAAATTAAATGTTTATCCGGCTTGCCATATTGACCGAACGCTCTCCTGACGTGAAAACAGCAATATTTTTATCATAGATGATTGTTTTCAGAGTAATGAGAGATTGAGTAAGCCAATAAAAACTTCATCATACACATATCCGGTCACTCTTAGACACAGTAATGCAGAAGATAGTGCGCCCAGCGCAGCAGCACTAGTGGTGGGAGAGAGATGAAAGAGGCAGAGGCTGAACATCTGTCTGTAATTGACGGGAATTTGGGAGTGTGTGGCCTAGCAGCTGCGCCGCAGAGCTTTGTTTTTGTTCCTCGGATACCGAGGCACCCCGGTGACCCACAAACTAACCCGCTGGTGGGACAATCCTGCGCCTGGCCAATGAATACGTGCAGTCGGTGTGTAGAGGGTTAAATATTAAGATAGAAAGATGAACAAATTGAGATACTTCATTTCTATTTGGTTACCATTCCAGGGCACATATGGTTCGTCTCTGCAGAAATATGGTAAGTTTCTAGTTTAGTGTTCAAGCTTTTTCTTTTCTTTTTTCTTTACTAACATGGCTGCAGTTAACCATTTTTCACTTTTAAAAAAAGTTAGCTCTTTTGTAAATCGATTAAATTGCTTAAAATATTTTGATATTTAACTATTAGATTAAAGTATTTAAAATGGATGTCTCTACATGTTCACATTGTAACAAAAAATGTTACAAGAATCAGTTTGTTGTTTCAATTTGGAGTATCTGTTTCACTAAATTACGATAGATTTCCAGAAGGTATTTAAAACATGTTTATATTTCCCTTAAAATCCAAATTTTCTATGATATTTGACTTCTGTTTTATGCAGTCTATATTTATAATGACATAACATAGATTTTAATGTTCTTTTAGTTGGCACTGAGTCAGTAAATCTTTAATGGTGATATTAAATTATGTTATATGATTATTAATGTAAGTTATATCCTATCAAATGCCATACTGTACAAATTGTGTCTACTGTTTAGTGCATTAAGAAACAATGTACACATTTGTTATATGTAAATGTGTTAGTTCATGTAAGCTTTATTTTATTCTATATCTGGGGTTTCTGTTTTATATTCATTCATTCAATCATTTTCTTTTAGGCTTAGTCCCTTTATTAATCCAGGGTCGCCACTGTGGAATGAACCGCCAACTTATCCAGCACATGTTTTATGCTGGAATGCCCTTCCAGCTGCAACCAGTCTTTGGGAAAATTTCCGTTGTAGATATCTGTTTTTATTCATTCATTTCCTTTTTGGCTAAGTCCCTTTATTAATCGGCGGTCACCACAGCGGAATGAACCGCCAACTTATCCAGCATATGTTTTATGCAGCGGATGCCCTTCCAGCTGCAACCCATCACTGAGAAAATCTGTTTTTGAACTCATTCATATTTAAATAATCCATAAACTGTAAAACAGCCTAATATATACAGTAATAGTGCATATTAAATATAAAATGTAATTTATTTGTGTAATGTTACTTTATTCTAATAGGCTCATTTGATGCTTGTATAGAATGTTTTATAGATATTACCATATTGAAAGCAAGCTAAATTTTCCGTAGTGTATGTGTGTAAATGAGAGTGCATGGGTGTTTCCCAATGATGGACAGCAGCTGAATGGGAATCCCCTGCATAAAACATATGCTGGATAAATTGGCGGTTCATTCCACGGTGGCGACCCCTGATTAACCAAGGGACTAAGCCGAAAAGAATATGAGTGAATGAATATATTGAAAGCAGTTGTGCTGCTAACTCATATTTATTTTTATTTTATTTTTGGAGTCATGCATTTGGTCAGGATTAATTTACTAAAAAAAAGTTTTAAATACTGTTCGAAAAGCTCTGTATTGACTTTAGTGATGTAACTTACTGTTTAAAATTACTTTTTAAATACTTTTTTTTAAATAAGAAGATTTTATGTCAGAATATTATTTTTAATAAACAAATTTTAAAAAGACTGATGTTTTATGTTTTCATAATTGCTTGTTCTAATTCCATTATTCATAACTACATATTAATATATTATCATAGAGAGACAACAAAGAAAGAAACAAAATGTAGCCTATAACAAAGATTAAATTATTAGTTACAATAAATTATACTGACTATTTTGATTGCATGTTTAGAAAAATAAAAACAAATACTAACCAAATGGATGACATGGTGGCACAGTGGGTAGCACGATTGCCTCACAGCAAGAAGGTCGCTGGTTCGAGCCCCGGCTGGAAAAGCTGGCATTACTATGTGAAGTTTGCATGTTCTTCTCCTGTTGGCGTGGGTTTCCTCTGGGTGCTCTGGTTTACCCCCACAGTCCAAAGAAATGTGCTATGGTGAATTGAATAAACTAAATTGCCCGTATTGTTTGTGTGTACAAAATGGTGTGTACTGTATGTATGAGTGAGTAATGGTTTGTTTCCCAGTACTGGGTTGCTGCATGGAAAGGCATCTGCTGCATAAAACATGCTGGATAAGTTGGTGGTTCATTCTGCTGTGGTGACCCTTGATGAATAAAAGCTGAAAGAAAATGAATGAATGAATGAATGGCTAACCAAATGGCTAAGATTTCAAAAAAGCAAGCAAATCATAATTTTCCTATAAATATATATGTATTTTGTATCACAGAAATGCTACTATGATCACCATCAGTCTCTTCATCATCGGCATCATCAATAAAGAGCAGCAGTGAACTGAACTGAACCATGAGCTCTGATCCTCCTGCATTGAAGCCTAATGCCGCAGATCTGAGCACAGCCACTGGAGGAGCGGAGGACTCGTGTTCTTGCTGTACTTTTCCCTTTGCTGTGGTTCTGCTGATCATCGGTGTCACAGTCACTGCTGTGGCCTACAGTTTCAACAGCCATGGCTCCATCATCTCCATTCTGGGGCTCCTGCTGCTCAGCGGTGGGCTCTTGCTTCTGGCATTCAGTGCAGCCTGCAGAAGATGCAGAAAGAGGAGAGAAATGGACAGATCATGGGATAGTCAGACTGACCTGGTGGAGAGCTGGAGGAACAGCTTTGATTGAAAGGTTTTGCATTTGACTTTGTGTTTATATGAATTAATTTGTCAATTAGTAACATCAAATAAAAATGCGTTTTGAAGGATTCTGACTGAAATAATTTGTAAAAATGCTATTAGAGTGCTTAACATGAGTTAACCCCTCACAAACTCTCATTCAAATTAATAGTTTCTATAGTATACTTTACAATTTTATAATTGTGCATACAGTTGAAGTCAGAATTATTAGCCCCTCTTTGAATTTGTTTTGTTTTTTAAATATTTCATAAATGATGTTTAACAGAGAAAGGAAATTTTCACAGAATGTCTGATAATATTTTTTCTCCCAGAGAAAGTCTTATTTGTTTTATTTCGACAATAATAAGTTCAGTTTTGATTTTTTTAATACTATTTTAAGGTCAAAATTATTAACTCATTTAAGCTATATTTTTTCGATAGTCTACAGAACAAACCATCGTTATACAATAAGTTATTACTTATTATACAATAGCCTAATTACACTAGTTACACTACCTAGTGCACCTAATTACCCTAGTTAAGCTGTATAGAAGTGTCTTGAAACATATGTAGTCAAATATTATGTACTGACATCATGGCAAAGATAAAATAAATCAGTTATTAAAAGATAATTTAGGAAATATTTAAAAAATATAATAAAATTCAAAGGGGGGCTAATAATTCTGATTTCAAATATATACATTTTGTTTTTGATGTAGTTAGTGTGTAAAATTAAATTTCAAAGGAAGTGACATATTTTAATAATGTGCAATTCATCCTAAAACTATTTGATATTTATTCCCACATTCACTCAATGCAAAGTTGTGAATTAGATGCAATATGGTTTTTGTTTAAAGATAATACAAGTCATGACTGTTTTACAAAATGATCATTACTTCCAAATTGTAAAAATAATTTAAATGCATTTTGTATATTTAAAAAAAACTTTTCATTTAGCAATTAGATCCAGAATCAGACCAATTCAGAGCTCAGATTCCCAAATCTATTCAATTTCATAATATTCACCTGACACACTTTGAGCTCAAACATCTGTTTTGAACTGAACTTTTGGTGACTCCAGATCACCTGCCTAAAGGCCAGAGCAGAACATTTTAGATTGAGATTTGGGACAGATTTGTGGTGTGTTGTGTATGGACTGAATGTCCAAACTTCCGTCCTTTTTTAGTTCATCTGGTTCCTTCACACTGTAATCCTGGTCAAACTGTAACATTTTAGCCAGGTGGTGTGTGTGGAAGTGTAACAGATGCTGATGGAGTGAGATTAAAAGAAGAAAAGTACTCTGTTCTTCTCATCCATTAACATCATCCAATTATTTGCCCTAGTTTGTGTTTTTTTTTTTTTTTCCAAGATTTCCTACAGCTAACATTATTGCAGTGTACACTGAACAAAGACAGGGTTTTCAAACACCATTAGCTTATATTTTTTATATTCATTCATTCAAAAATGTATTAATTTATTTATTTATTAGTGGCTATACAACATGTTTACCATAATTGACAGAACAATAATAGTACCAAAAATATATATTTTTAAAAACTGGTCAGGCTATTTTAGAGCATGTAAAAATCATTTAGTGATATTTTGCCATATTAAAGCAAGCATTTCAAAATCACCCATTTGCCAGAATGACACTTTTTATTATCTAAAATCCCAAAAATATTTTTGACCACTTTTTTGATATTTTAATGTGTACAGACCCAAATAGGTAAGTTGATTATTATTTTTCATGACTACTTCTGTTACACTAAATGATGATAGAAAAATATTCTATTTTCCTGAAGGTATTTGAAACACTTTTATGTTTACATTTCCAAAATAACTTTAAAATCTAAATTGTAAATAATATGTGGCTTCTATTTTATGCAGTCCGTTTATGACTTAACATAGATTTTCATATTTTTTTCAGTATGTCTTTAATTATGTCTTTAAAATGAAAAGTAATTAATTTTCCTTCGGCTTGGTCCCTTTATTCATCAGTGGTCACCACAGCGGAATCAACCGCCAACTTATCCAGCATGTTTTACACCCTTTCCACACTCTCGGAAATAAAGGTACATGAGCTGTCACTGGTGGTACCTTTTCAAAAGGTACAAATTGGTACATAAAAGGTCCATATTAATATAGGTGAACATAGTACCTAAAAAGTACAAAAGTGTTTCTCTTAAAATTTTTAGGTACTAATATATAATTTTGAGGAACCAATATGGACCCTTTAAAGTACAAATGTGTACCTTTTGAAAATGTACCACCCTAGGGACAGTTTGTGTATCTTTATTGAACAGTAATGGTGATTTTTATTTATTTGTTATTATTATTATTATTATTATTATTATTATCACTCATTTATTTTATTTTTGGCCAAGTCGTTTATCAATCTGGGGTTGCCACAGCGGAATGAACCGCCAACTTATCCTGCATATGTTTTACACAGCGGATGCCCTTCCAGCTGCAACCCAGTTCGGAATAAACAGTAATGATGATTTTTATTTAAAATTATTATTATTATTTTGTAAAATTTATTAAACTAATGTTATCCACAAAAAGGTGAATGAAAAAAAATATGTTCCCAAAATACCCCTCACAAATCTACTTTTTGGCTTGCCTGTTATGTCACGGTCCATTTAGGTATAATGACATAACTAAAAGTCGTTCATTACACAATACTTAGTGAAATCCCACACTGACGTGCAATAAAAGCACACGAGGAGGGCCATGCCAAAATATGTACTCCACCCTTTCACCGCTTCTATAATTTACCCAAATCCATCCATCCATCCTGCAATGTGCAGCTGGCAAAATTAAAATGGCAGCTTAAGCTATTAAAGTGAGCAGCTTTTAATCATTGGCCGCAGGAATCCAAGGTTGGAAGGGGAGGGATTAAAGTCTTTGAACGGCAGATCCACATCACATCTCCACATCTCTGATCCCCGGACAGGGCCCTTCGCCGATGGTGCCCAGATTTCGGCCGGAGCGCGGATTCAGGGATGCGGCGTCGCCATGGGTCTCATGGAGTTTTACTCGGAGATTGATCCAGTCACACTAAACCTCATCATCCTCATAGCCAGCTACGTGATTTTACTTCTGGTCTTTCTCATCTCGTGCATCTTGTACGACTGCCGAGGTAAAGACCCGACGAAAGAGGATGTTTCTGAGCCTCCAGCCCCGCAGCAGCAATCGCCCATCCGGCTGGTGGTGATGCAGAACTCGCCCGCTTCCTCCCGGTTCAACGAACAGAACAACACCACCGCGTCCAACTTCGCGCCGCTTACGCCGGACATGCGCGAGAAGAGGAGCACTCTGGTCTGACAAACACACACACACATACTGATGAAAGACTTTTAACTTTTAGACACTTATTCAGGTTTCTACAAGTTGATGAAGCTGAAATTTGAATCTAATTGGAGCTAAAACAGGTAAGATAGGCTACACAAACCCTGACCCTCAACATTTGACCCATTTAATACTTTGGGCTAAATTGTTGTGTCTACCATTCAACTGAAGCAGTACAATGTACAATTTCCACACTATTAATAACGAGACACTATGTTGCTATTATTATTATTATTATTATTATTATTATTGATATAGCCTAATAATAATATAGCAATAATAATAATAGTTGTTTTTAATGTTCATTAATAAATCGTTATCAAATTCACTCTAAAATATTTGTTAATATATCATTTAGATTAATCTAAAATTTTATTAACTTATTATTAAAATTAATTAATAGAAATTAATGAGTGCTTTAAAGTATTCTTTATGTTAAAAATTCATATTTACAAGAAAATTAAGAACTGGAAC